TTTTTTGCAATTTGGCCTCGAGGCCTGTGCCGCCATCATTTATGCTTCTGATATAGGGTTGCATCGAGGGTTGTAATTTAACCTGAAAACATCCGTGTTTCCCCCTTTAAAAACCCTCTCGCATTTCAAGGACCCATCTTCACCCCCCTCATCTGCGACATGAATAACTTCACCCCCATGACAATCTGGAGTCTGTTGGGTATCCCTCCACCCAACCCCTACCCCGTAGGTTCTGTACATCTCCATTGGTCGTAACCAGCTGATGATTCGTCAGAAAGGAACCCGAGTCTGGTATAATATGAGTAGCGGTGGCCTCATGTTTGCAACCATAGACTCCACCGGCAGGTTGCCAGACGTGAGCAATCCCCTTTGTACTTCCTTTTTCCCACTAACATGGTGATTAGGGGACGATACTCTTGACCATCATCGATGACGACGGCGAGAGGGTTACCTTACCGTACGTCCTTTTTACTCTATCCAAACCCCCATTTCACCTATTATGAAAGGGCATGTGGCGTAACACGGGTCTCTTAATACGTCATACCATTACCACCTGTATCTTTTTACTTAAAAAAAAAATTCATGTCGAGTCTTGTTTGAAAGCCCGGATGAGCAGAACTGATCTGAAAGGCCGGGTGCAACCAGACAGGAAAGACCACGATCCTATCCTAATGGCAGTTATGACCCTGACATGTTGACAGACGTCCCTGTTCTACGTAATAAATAAATCCATGCCCGAGCCTCATGTTTTGCCAGTTAAAAGTGTCAAAAATCTTTTTTTTTGTTCATGACTGCCCCCGATTTCTTTCAATATACAAGGGATCTAGCTCGATACTTCAGAGGCCGGTTGCGGTCCTTACATAGCCCAAGCGTTCCTCGTCCTGCTCCACCACCATGGTTGGAGCCGGAGGCCCAAGCATCTGTTGAAAGGGTAATTAACATGCTTGAAGAAGCATTCAAATCTTCATGTATGTCTCACTTCTAGCCGGCCGATCTTCACTAAGTTTTGGACAGATATGACTACTTGGGACGTCTGGGACTATGCTGCGGACTTGTCACCGAGACAGAGTGGAAGCAATGAGGAGTGGAGAAGAAACTCTTGCACAATTCCCACCGATCTACGAACNAGCCGGGTCCGATATCCCCTACCTCGATCAACCGTGCCATATAACCGACCGGCAGGGTCACATTTTACTTTGGTACTTTCCTGAAATGTTCTCAGAACAGCTTCGGGTAATTACTTTCACTTCATTACACCCTTAGACTTTCCTCACTTTACTAGACATTTATTTGGGATCACACAGGTTCTTTGAGCCCCAAAAAGAGAAGTAATGGGAGTTGGCGGGATCACCACCCTGAGAATGAAGGGGTCACTGGGATTGTAAATTTATCACCCAGCTGGTTTTCTCAAGGACATGAAGGTCCCGAGGATCCACTGCGCGCGTCAGCCGATATTCAGGAACCTGCCAATTCAACCTACCTCCAGAATGTCCTATTGGCCAATGCAATTGTTGGTGCAATCTATGCCGTCATACAACCCGATCTTTTTGAGTCCAGTTTAGCCACCTTCGAGAAGCTTGCCAATCATGCCGAGGCATTGGACGATCCTATCAATATTGCTCTTCGCGTTTGGGCCACTCCCTTCACCGGTCTTTCAGTCATCCTGAACCGAGAGATGATCGATCACCGAGATCTAAAGGGGTATAGGGAGTCTTTTGACTTGTTGCTCACCATCGGAAACTACACAGGAGGCCGGTGTCACTTAGCCGGGCTCGGGTTTAGCCTTGTTTATGACCCTGGGACAGTTGTTGCCTTGGCCGGCAATGTTTTACAACATGGTGTTTGTCCTGTGCTGGGTGACCGGGCCTGTTTAGCTCACTTTTGGCACAAAAAGGTTGGGGAAAGGCTTGGGGTGAAGAGGCCTCAGTGGTTGACCATGGCAGACTTGATATATAATTTGTCTGGTAACCAATAAATAATGAATTAGAAATCCGACCCAAACTTGCTCGGCCTCAGCACCAATATGTTCAAGGAGACGGGGGGCTTGACGAACCCGATCCCGGGCTTTCTCCACCTGGGTTTCTATGTGCTGAAAACCGGTTCTTGTGATACCTCATTAGGTCAATAAGAGCAGACTGCTGTACAATTTCCTCCCAAACTGAAATCTCATTGGTGACCCACTCTTCCTTGGCCTCAGCACGCTTGATACGTTCAAGGAGACGATCCCGAGCATTCTCCAACTGGGTCTTGATGTGCTGAACTTCGGCCGGTGTCAGCGTGGAGGTGTCAGTGTCCGGGTACTTGATTGGCAAACCACCCTTTGCCATCCATCTGAACCAATTGTATGACCTTTTCAGAAGTTGGTCGACGCCCCCTGGTGGAAAGGTGATGCGAGTATTCCACCACGCAAACTCGTATGCAGGCCGGATACGGTCATCCATGAAGGCTTCCTGAGGGTGCAGTGGGTTACCCTGGAGACAGGACTTCAAAAAGGGAGGGACGATAAACTGGCAGGAAGGTGAGCTCAAAGAGAAAAAATCTGGGGCAAAGTTTTACTTTATGCCCATAGGCGCATGCCATGCCGAGAGTCGCTATAATGAAACCCTAACCAAAGGAATGAGTTTAGCCGGGCGCGGCAAAATAAAGCTCACCTGTTCGGCCGACATGTACTCCAACCAACAATTCTCGAACTTGGGGTCAATGGGGTTTTCGAGCTTCGATGTCAAAATGGCTCTGAATCGAGAGGACCAGTAGCAGAGTAC